ACATACAATGCACTAGGCACTGTGTTGCATGAGCAAACAGAGGCCATGGTCCCTGCCCTCATGATATTTAGAATCACCAGCTAGTTGTATTTATTTTTTAAATTATTCTGATTGTAAATTTACTAAATATTGTCATAGAGAATTTGGAAAATAGAAAAAAATAAGAAAGCAAGTCATCACTAATCTCAACACTTGGAGAAAATCACTCTTTATTACTAATAACCTATTTTATGTTTTTCTGTGTTTCTTTTTCAAAATTGAATCTATAGTGTTTTGTATCCTACTTTTCCCTCCTAGTTTATTTTTTACAGATTTCCCCTGTAACCCAGTTTCAAAATATAATTTTATCGAATAGCATACTAGTTTATCACATGAACATTTTGTAATTTGTTTAAATAATTTCTCTCAGATATTCAGGTATTCTCTAGTTTTTTGGGGTTTTTTTGCTTATTAATGAAGCCAAACCTATTTTTATATTTCATCCATAAACTGCATTTCTTTCATAAATTACCTTGTGAAATGGCCTTTATGCAGTCTCTCAGTAGGTTGATATTAATCATTTAATCCTGTTTATCACAGAATTTTAGCAGTGCTCTTGGTTCTTCCTGAAGCCATATTATTTATTGAATTTAATATTGATATTGAAATAAAATTTTGACATACATGAGAACCTCATCTTCTAGTAAATGTATGTAGTAATCATTTGCTTTATGAATAGCTCAGTATTTATTTCAAACAAACATAACCAAAATTAGGCTTCATTTGCCTTTTAGAAACACACTGGGTTATTAAACTATAAAATAGTTATTTACTTCTTCGCTGGGGTCCATTTCTTAGAAAACATTTTTGATGGATAATTTTCTAGGGAAAGAAACTCCTTCTTGAAGATGTTTGTTATAGGCGCCCCTCCCCCACCATTTGAGTGGGTAGCACGGAGTGGGTGGGGAAGTGCACATGGTTACCTGAGCTCCAGGTAGACATGAGTGTGTGTGAATTTTGTCATGCTTCATACTTTTATAACAGTTTTTGTCCTTTACCTCATCTAAACTTCTTCATAATGAATTGCTCCATCTCTCTTCATTTTCCCATACTACTTTGTAAGTATCTTTT